TGTTGGACATATGGGTTAATGGGTTAATGTTGGACTTGTGGGCTTGGGCAGCATTGGGTTAGGATGTTTTCTTGATGCACACTTAATCTTTACATAAAACTCTCTCTTATACATGAGCTGTTGTGGATTTGTTTCTCTAAAGTACCCAGACTAATACACCATCCTTGCCTGTAAGGAGCACTGTGGCTGTACTTCACCCAAGAAAGATCGGTTTATCCTTTTAGCAGTCCATAGTACTTTCAATATTCTTCTCCAGCACCATAATTCAAATACATTGATTCTTCTTGAGTCCTGCTTTTTCATTGTCGAACTTTCACATGCATATGAGGCAATTGACATACAAGGGCTCAGGTCAGGCGCAACTTAGTCCGCAAAGTGATATCCTTGCTTTTCAATACTCTACAGAGGTCTTGATTTAATTCATGCAATACGTCTTTTGGTATCTTGACAGCTGCTTCCATGGGCATCGTCTTTCTAGTTCTCGGGTCTCTTGCTTTGTGATGGTCGCACCAGGGTGCAGCTGCCTTAGCCAGTTCCCTGCTTCAGCTGGCTGCCCAGTAGCTCCAAGCAAGGTGAAATCCTTGACCACTTCAACCTTTCCTCCATCTATCACGATGCTACTTCTTGGTCCAGTTGTGAGGATTTGGGTCTTCTTTACATGAATCATAATCCATACTGAAGGCTTCATTCCTTGATTTTCATCAACAAATGCTTCAAATACTCCTCACATTCAGCAAACAAGGTTGTGCCATCTGTATACAGCCAGTTGTCTTCCTCGTATAATCCAGCATCTCTCATCATTTGCTCAGCATATAGACTTATAAGTATGATGAGAGGATACAACCCTGACTGTCACCTGACTGATTTTAAATCATGTACTATTCCCTTGTTCTGTCCATACAACTGTCACTTGACCCATGTACAAATTCCTCATGAGGACAACCAAATGTTCTGGAATTCCTTCTCAAGGTTAGCCATAGTTTGTTCTGATCTACACAGTCTAACACTTTGTCATAATTCATAAAACCCAAGTAAACATCTCTCTGCTATCCACTGAATTCAGCCAAGGTCCATCTGACATCAGCAATGTTATCCCTAGTTCCTTGACTTCTTCTGAATCCAACCTGAACCTCTGGTAGCTTCCTATCGATGTACTGCTGCAAACATTGTCGTGTGATCGCCATCAAGATTTCACCTGCAGGTCATATCAAAGACACTGTTCTATAGTTTAGGCATTCTGTTCATCATCTTTCTTTGAAATGGGTACAAATATGGATCTCTCCCAGTCAGTGGGCCAATTCGAAGTTTCTTGGCATCGAAAAGTAACTACTTCCAGTACTTCATCAGTTTTTGAAATATTTCAATTGATATTCCATCAATTCCTAGACCTTAGTTTTTGGCTTATGCTTTCAATGCAGCCTGAACTTTCAGCACCACTGATTCTCCCCCATAGTATATGTATCTCCTGAAATGGTGGGATTTTGGCTAGTCTTTTTTGGTACAACGATTCTGTGTATTTTTTCCATCTTCTTTTAATGATTCCTGCATCGTCCATTTTTTCCTGATAGAATCTTTCAATATTGCAACTCCAGGCCTAAATTTTTTCTTGAGTTCTTTCAGTTTAAGGTATGCTATGTTCTTCATTTTGGTTTTCTAACTCTGTGTCTTTGCACACTTCATTATAATATTTGACATTGCCTTTTTGCACTGTCCTTTGAAATTTTTTATTCAGCTCTTTGATTTTTCTTCTTTTTTTTTCATTTTCTCTAGCTGCTCTATAATTAAAAGCAAGTGTTAGAGTATGTTCTGATATCTGCTTTGATTCTTTCTTTTCTGTCTTTGTAAATGACATTTTGCTTTCCTCATGAATTATATTCTTGATGCCCACCCACAGCTCAAAAGGTCCTCAATTCATGTTCAATGAATCAAATCTGCCTTTGAGATGTTCTTGAAATCCAGTTGGGATATACTCAATGTCTTATTTGGGCCCTTGTGGATATTTATTATTTTTCTGCAGTTTTAACCTGAACTGACATATAAGCAATTGATGTTATCTTCCACAGTCAGCCCCTGGCCTGGTGTTAGCGGCTGGTATTGAGCTTATCCATCATCTCTTCTATAGATGTGGTCAATTTGATTTCTATGTATTCCATCTGGAGAAGTCCAGATACATAGTTGCCTTTTGTTTTGTTGAAAAAAAGATCTGTGCTAGAAAAACGTCATTGGTCTTGCAAAATTCTTGCAATTTCCAGTTTTGTTTCTATCACAAAGTCAAATTTATCCTACAAAGACACTGCTGCACTTCAGAGTAGATTTTGAAATGTTCTCTTTCATGAGGAATAATGATACAATCCCCCTTCAATTTGTTCATCCTTGCATAGTAGATCATATGCATGTCTCATTAAAAATGGCCAGTGTCAGACCAATTCATTTCATCAGTGAGCAAGATATCAATCTTTTTATATTCCACTTAATTTTCCAAGATTTAAAATTTTCCTAGATTCATACTTTTACATTCCATTACTTGTGGATGTTTTCAGCTCTTTCTTGTCTTTTTAAATCGTGCCACATGAGCAAATAGAAGTTCCAAAACTTTTATTCTACTAACATCTTAAGGTCATTTCATTAGGAAAGACAGCTTCCTGGGGCACAAACACAATGCTGGGTCGAGTGGAGGGACATTAAAAAAGAAGAAGGTCCTTGAAGCGATGGATTGACCCAGTGGCTGCAACAATGTGCTTGCTCAAAGGTAAGAACAATGGTGAGGATGATGCAGGCATTGGAAGTTACAGATGCAGGCGTTGTTCTGTTACACAGGGCTGCTATGTGTAGGAACTGATTCAATAGCACCTACAAACAACAACAACAACACAATTTTGAGAAGGCAGGATTTTTCTCCTCAAAGGTAGGGCAGTATTATTTTGAGTACTTCCCAACATGTCAAGTTCATTTGCTAGGATTCTATCAGACTATGTTCCAATCCCATTCAGAAGGTTTTCAATGACATTTTTCAGAAGTTAAAACAGCAAATCTTTGTTCCTAATATTTCTTAGTTTCATAGTTCCATCGAAATCTATCTGAGTGATCCTAATGATATTTGAATTATTAACTTTATAACTTCCAGCATCACAGTAGCACCTAAGCCAGCACAGTATGATAAACTGACAAATAAGTGTTTGAAGATGCTTTTAACTATTATAAAATATGTTTAGGCCACTTTGTTGGACACTGACAAAGATAGAAGTTAAAATTTATTTCTCACAGTACTTATATAGGATATCTGTGATAAAACAATAAAGGGATAATTCTGTTGACTGTATCATAACTGTGAAAGATGAAGGCTTCCATACAAACATGGCTAAGGGACAGCTACCCCACTTTGCATACCAAGGCATTCAGTTTCATAAATGTATCAGATACTTTAAGATATGAAAAAAGTCAATAAAGTTTGCATTTATCTTTAATTGTGTTATGTTTTTAAGCCTCATATATTCAACTATGTTTCATAGTACTGGAGGACAGGGACATTATTAACAGTTTATATGAACTTTTTATAATATGTGCTTTCTATTTCATAACATTTCAGTTACATGGTCTATTTTAAAATAAAATATTGAAAAATTCACTAATCATAAGTGGGGTATTGCTACAGTAGTTGATGTTGTCATACTGACATAGGTGTAGGACAGACTACATAGTAGGATTGAATGAGAGAATAAATGAGAAATTATAATTATGCATATAGTATGGCTGCAAGATTGAGTCTGAAACATCTATTCAAACATTTAATTGTGAATTAATAAAAAAGAACAAATTAAATTTTTTTATCAATTTATTGGGGCTCATAAAATTCATCACAATACATAGATCAATTGTGTAAAGCACATCTATACATTTGTTGCCCTCATTATTCCTAAAATTCGCTTTCCTCTTGGGTTCCCGGAATCAGCTCATTTTCCTTTTTCCCCTCCCCCTCCCTTCCTCCTCCCCTCTCCCCCATGTACCCTTCATAATTTATAAATTATTATTGTATCTTATATTACACTGTCCGGCGTCTCCCTTCACCCACCCCTCTGCTGCCCATCCCCCAGAGAGGAGGTTATATGTAGTTCCCTGTGATCAATTCCCCCTTTCTACACCCCCTTTCCCTCCTGGTATCGCCACGGTCACCCCTGGTCCTGAGAGGTTCATTTGTCCTAGATTCCCTGCGTTTCCAATTCCCATCTGTAACGCTGTGCATCATCTGGTCTAACCAGGTCTTCAAGGCAAAATTGGTGTCCTGGTAGTTGTGGGGAGGAAGTGTTTAAGAACTAGAGGAAGGTTGTGGGTTTCATTATTGCTATACTGTACCCTAAGTGACTCATCTCCCCACTACCCCTCTGCAAGGTATGTCCAGTTGTCTAGAGATGGGCCTGGAGTCTCCATCACGCGCCACCCTCATTGACGAGGATATGATTCCCCGCCCCCCACATTTGTTGTTTAAATTCTGGTCCCTTTGGCCCTTCATGATCACACATGTTGGTGTGCTGCTTCCATGTGGGCTTTGTTGCTTCAGGGCTAGATGGCCACTTGTTTACTTTCAAGCCTTTAAGTTCCCAGACGCTATAGGTCTCGATAGCCGGGCACCATCAGCATTCTTCACCACACTTACTTATGCACACATTCGTCTTCAGCGTTTATGTGTGGAAGGTGGTCACACAATGATAGCTTTTGTTCTTTAGTGTCTGCTGCCTGTTCCCTTCAACACTTCGTGTTCGCACAGGCTCGTGTGCTTCTGCTCTGTGGAATCTGTTGTTTCTGAGATAGATGGCCATTTGTATGTTGATAAAATGCAATGTACCTTTTTGTTCAAACTCTAATCTTTAGTAACTATTTTAGGATTCCTACATTGATCCCCACATTTCTGGCTGGGATAAGCTATCATTACAGCATGCATTTCCCTTTAGCTTTGTTTCTCACATAATTTACCGAAGATTCGATTTCTAATATGCTGACTCTTCACAGAATACACAATGGGATTCATTAGAGGGGGAATCAAAAGGAAAGTGTCAGCTATAATAACTCTAATAACTGGAGAGGCATTATTAGCAAAGCGATGAACAACAGCCAAGGTAATGATAGGCACATAGAAGATAAGCACAGCACAGATATGAGAGATGCAAGTATTGAGGACTTTGAGGCGACCCTTTCGTGAAGCAATGCCAAAAACAATTTTAAGGATTAGCATGTATGACACAGAAATGCATGCCAAGTCTAACATTGCTGTAAGAGCCACAAAAAAGCCATAGATAATATTGACCTTGTTGTCAGAACAGGCCAGCTTCATGACATCCTGGTGGAGGCAGTAGGAGTGGGATAGAAGGCTTTTATAACAGTATTTCAGCCTTTTTAGAATGAAGGGGAAAGGTAGGACCAATAAAATACTTTTCCCAGCAAACACAAGACCAATTTTAATGACCCTGGTACCTGTAAGAATAGAGGCATATCTCAAGGGGCTATTAATAGCTATAAAGCAGTCAACTGACATGATAAAAAGTACAGATGATTCCATGACTGAGAATCCATGAATGAAAAACTCTTGAGCAAGGCAGGCATCTGAGGAAATCCCTGGGGCATTGAGCAAGAAGATTCTCAGCATAGTTGGCAGGGAAGAGATGGACAGTCCTAGGTCAGACAATGCCAACATGGAGAGGAAATAATACATCGGTTCATGAAGAGAGGCCTCTGTTTTTATGAAAAAGAGGATAATACAGTTCCCCAGAATGCTAAAGAGGTAAATGAGGCAAATGGGGATTGAGATCCAAACATGGGCATGTTCCATTCCTGGAATCCCAATCAGGAAGAAGGTAGAGATTTCGACTTCAGAAGTGTTGGAGATTGACATGGAGGACTGTGTAGATGTTGATCTCAGAGAGGCTTCCTGCAATGTGGAAAACACATTTCTCAAATGTACATGCTTAAATCACTTGGGTGGTAGAAATATTGGCATTTCAGATACTTTCCTATAATAATTCTTAGAATTAAAACAAAATTCTTTATAAAACATAAATTTGAGTAGTTTTGTGATGTATATAAATAGAATAACAAGAGAAACATAAATAAGTTAATATACCCATGAAAACACCAATAGGAAAATACTAATATTCAATATACTACCTTGGTTACTGCATATAAGATGAAAACAGTTCATTTCTACAACTATATTAGTATATTTAGTTAGGTTAATGAAACTATATGTTTGAAAATTGCATGGAATTTTATAAGCTCATAGTAGAAACTTGGATTACTACAATTATGATTACAGTTATTGAAGAACATTCTTTTCAATATTTAATTATAGGCTTATTGGATATTAACCTGAGAAAATATGAAGTTGGATACTTACCTTATACTATATATGAACATGAATTTATAATAGATTGAAGAACTAAATGTAAGAGTTAAAATTATAAAATTGTTAGAAAATTGTTGTGACTAATTTTGCAATGGTTTCTTACACAAGACTTTAAAATATAAACAATGTAACAAAATTCATAGACCTTATCTAAATTTAAAAAAATGTATGCTTCACATGACTCTATTAGTACAGTTAAAACACAGCTCACGTACTGAGAGAAAGTATTTACAAACTTTATATATGGTACAAGATTTGTATCCAGGCTTTTTAATAAACATTTCCAAGTAAAGGAAAATAAGGAGTCCCTCAATGAAATTATTGACACAGTGGCTGAGACAATAAGCATAAACACTCAGTTACTGTAGAGATTGCCCAAGACCAAGTAGCGTCTCATTGTAGGATCCCTAAGAGTCAGAATTTACTCAATGGGACCTAAAAAACTATTGTATAATATGCGAATTGTAAAAGAAGTTGATAGAAGCATTCCAGTGTGCTTCATTCCATTTTTACACAAGCTTTTTGAAGCCACTGTAATATCTCAATAATGGACCTTTATATTTAAAAAAAGAAGAAACAAATCTGTCTTACAGTAAGCACTGGCAGAATGCTCCTTAAAAGCAAAGACAGGGAGACTTCATCTCGTGTCCTCTGGGCATCTATCAGGAGAGAACGGTGGCTGGAAAAGGACAGCGTGCTTGCTAAAGGAGAAGGGCAGCTCACAAAGGAAGACCCTGGACGGGATGGGAGGAAACAGCCGCTACAACAATGGGCTCAGATGGAACCATTGTGAGGCTAGCTCAGAACCAATTAGTGGTTAGCTCTATTGTATGTGGGGTCACTGTGAGTCAGAACAAACTCCATGATACCTAACAATACATTTTTTTAAAGTACATCCGGAAATAGTTATCCTTTATTTCCCATATATACCCAATTCACAAGATTATAAATGGTCATTTTTTTATATAGAAACCCACATGAAGACTGTACTGCATCAATTATAATAGTGGTAAGGAAGAAACTAGAATTTTACCTCTACCTGCAATTTTTTTTTTTCATATTGACTGAGGTCTTAAAAGATGCTTTAGAGCTCAATGTACTTGGTTTGGGGTACCAGGTGTGGACATTACGTTATGAATATCAGACAATGAGATCCTAAAAACCAGAAGCTTTTGGATGGATACGTATTTAAAAAATATCCAGTTGAAGTAGAGGCACAGCTCATGGAAGTGAAGGAATGTTTAAATTGACAAGCAGAAGAGTCAGAGAAGATTGCAAAGGTGCCCAGAAAAGAATCTAAGAATCGGCCTGAAACATCTTCTATATGTGCAATGCCTAAAGCCATCTTGAAACCGCATGGCTCAAGTAGTGACTTCCCTGCTTCCAAATTCCCTTGCACTGACAAAGCATTCTCACCGTTCAAGGTTGGAAAATCAGCTGAAAATGAAAGTTCATGGTAAGGAAGAAAGCATTTGTTGCTGTTTGGTACTTTCAAGCCAGTTCTGAGGCAGAGAAACCCCATGTACAACAGCCATGTGGCAATCCGTTTTGTAGAAGGTCTTCCATCTCATGGATGGTCTTCCTCTTTTTCCTATGTCTCTTTCGGGTTCCTATACTTTACTAAGATCGATATCCTTATTGAACACTGGTTTCCTCCTGATCACATGCCCAAGGTACATGAGAAGAAGTTCTAATTGCGTTCTAATTTCCTCAGTTCTAATTGTGTTCCCAAACAGCTTTGTTCTTTTCTCTGGCCATGCAGGTTCTATTCCATACTCCTTGCCCCAATGCTAATTCAAAGGCATCAATTCTTCTTCAATAGTCCTTGTTCCTTGTCCAGCTTTCATATGCATAGGACACAATAGAAAATACCATGGTTTAGGTCACATACCCTCTGGACATCAAAGAGACATCATTGTTTTTTAACATAATAAAGAAGTATTTTGTGACTTATCATTTCATTTCTATGAAATGAAAAATCATTTCATTGCATTTTTCAGATTTATCATTTCATTTCTTTTTTAAAAGATTTTATTGTGAATCAAATTAAGGTTTTCAGTGCAGATCAGTTTTTCTTTTTCTTTTTTTAAAATTATTTTATTGGGGGCTCATACAATTCTCATCACAATCCATACATACATCCATTGTGTCAAGCACATATGCACATTTGTTGCCCTCATCATTCTCAAAACATTTGCCTCCCACTCTAGCCCCTAATATCAGTTGCTCATTTTCGCCCTCCAGCCCCACTCACCCCTCCCTCATGAACCCTTCATAATTCATAAATTATTATAGTTTTGTCATAAGTTACCCTGTCCGATGTTCCCTCTGCCCTCTTCTCTGCTGTCCATCCCCCAGGGAAGAGGCAATACTTAGATTCTTGTAATCAGTTCCCCCTTTCTACCCCACATTCCCTTCACCCTCCAGGCATCGCCCCTCTCACCACTGGTCCTGAAGGAGTCATCTATACTGGATTCCCTGTGTTTCCAGCTGCTATCTGTACCAATGTACATCCTCTGGTCCAGCCAGATTTGTAAGGTAGAATTGGGAGCATGATAGTGGGGCGGGGGCGGGGAGGAAGCATTAAAGAACTAGAGGAAAGTTATATGTTTCATCGTTGCTACCCTGCCCGCTGATTGGCTCCTCTCCTCCCCACAACTCCTCAGTAAGGGGCTGTTTAGTTGCCCACCGATGGGCTTTGAGTCTCCACTCTGCACTCACCCACCTTTACAATGATATGCTTTTTTGTTCTTGGATGCTTGACACCTGATCCCTTCGGATCAGTTTTTCTTTTGATATTTTTCTTTCAAAATTTTTAATTTATACATTCTGCTTCAATCCATACAATCTCATATCACTTATTCTACATCCTCTTTGCTTTTCCAGTGTCCATTCTTCTTTCTTTATCGCTAACCCTTCTGAATTTTATCCTTAGGTAAATGCTGCCCTTTTGATCTCAAATGATTGATTAGTCTAAGATGTGCAAACCTCATTAGTGTTATTGTTCCGCTTACAGACCTGTCCATGATTTGGCTTAAAAATTAGCTGTGGTAGTGAGTTCAGCTAAAGACCATATACGTGTCTGAGAGAAATGGTCTCAGGGTTCCACTAGTCTCTACCTTTCCACTACCCATGGTTATTTTTGTATAAGTTTGTGTTTTGTTGCACATGTTCTCCCACTCTCTTCAGTTCTCAAATGGTGTGAAGTTTGATATTAGTGTGTCTATTAGTCCTTTGGATCAATTGTTTCCATTTATCTTCGATATTTATCACTCATTTTTCCTTCAGCGATATAACACTAGATGCACCTCAAGTGGCCACTGAAAAGCTTTTAAGATACTATTTACCACTCATAAAAGTCAGATGTAGAGCATTTGTTCTTCTGGAATATATTGTGTGAATTAACCATGTTGTCCCCTAAACCATGGCCCTAAACCCATAGATCCCAACTATTGATTTCCTCAAGGTCATTGGCTATGTTTCAGAAGCTTTCTTGTAACCTCTACCACATTTATGTATATATTTTCAGTAAACCCTCATATAAAACTAGCTTTTGTCAAATATATATATATGTATATGTATTCATATATATATATATATATATTTGTGGGTATACCTTCATTCTCCGTCCCACATACATTTAGCCTGAATGTCTATCCATTCCTTTATTTATAGATCACCTTTATTGCAGGACTGCATGCATAACAGTAGCTACCTCAGTTGTCTCTAACATGATTTCTCGATTACTGCTGTGTGTGCTTTGTGCATGCCAGCAAAATGACATCCTTGACAACTTAAGTCCTTTCTCTGTTTACCATGATGTGCCTTATTGTTCTAATTCTGGATATTTCTGTTTTCTTCGTGGTAAGGGGTAAACCTCACCTGTAGTCTCCAGTCTTCATCTTCAAGTGCTTCATGTCCTCTTTCAGCAATAAGGTGTGTCATTTGCATATTGCAGGTTCTTAGTGAGTCTTCCTTCAATTTCAATGTATCTTGAAGTCCATTGTATGTATAGTCCATTTTCTGAGATCAGTTGGTCAACATACAGATTGAATTAAGATGGAGAAAGGATACAACTCTGAATCACACCTTTCCTGATTTAACATAATGGAGATTCCTCTTGTTCTTTTCAACTAACTTCCTCTTTGTCTATGTGATCTGGAATTCCCATTCTTCTTAATGGCATTCATAGTTTGTTATGATCTAAACAGGATGTCTTTGCATACTCAATGAAAAAGGTAATCATCTTTCTGGTATTCTATGCTTTCAATAAAAATTCATCTGGCAGCTGACATGACATCCTTCATTCTACCATCTTCTGAATCCAACTTGAATTTTGAGCCATTCTTTATAGATGTACTATTTTAAATTATCTTTAGCAAAATTCTCCTTGCATGCTGTGTTAGTAATATTTTTGGTGATTTCTGGATTCTGCTGGGTCATCTTTCTTTAGAATAGGCACAAATATGGATCTCTTTTAGTAAGTTTGT